GTGTATATACTCAAAATATAATAATTTTAAAGTAACAAAAAAAACTTTACTATGTCCTATCTGACAACCCTGCCTGGTACATTACTGCAGTGGTTCCATGTAAACAGGTGATTTTGTTTGTGTATTTGTCCCAGTAAACATGAGCATTTTCAGATACTGGTCTTGTGTAAACAGGGTCTAAGACAGGAGAGCTAAACTGATAACATCAATAATTTGTGTTGACTATGGTTGGTTAGCTGTGGCGGCCATCTTGAACTGGGTTGATACAAAGTTTACAGAGTTTCAGATGTGCAATCAGTGATTAACTCTGAGAGTTTCATTAAAATCAATCTTCTGCTTCTTGAGATGTTTTGCTAACAGACTGTTGTTGTTAACACTCTTACTGCCAGTGTGTAGAGCAGTTTGTGTTGTGAATCCCTGCTCTCATCCAGAGGAGTGACTTCAGCCTTTTAGCTTTAGTNTACCATTACATGGAGGCAACACCTCTTCAGGCTGTGTGGGGTCACTTCAGCTCAGTAGGAGGTCCTGAGGATTAGCACATATTGCTGTGTAGACCACTAATCATTTTCATGTCCAAGGGGTCCAGATCACCTCAGGTGGTTTAAATGAAAAAATTTGGTGCTGTCAGATTCCAGTCATTTAGCTACAGACAGAATACAGCAACAAATATGATCAGAGTCTAACAGATCCTTCGAGTTATTGCAGAAGATTGTACATTATGTTGTTTTCAAGGTTTTACCAAAGCAGCTGCAGCTCCAGCCCTCCTCAACACAAAATTATTTCAGTCTAAAACTCTGGAAAGAAAAGTGACAGGCTTTCCTCCAAGCACTGCCAGGCCCTTTCTTTAAAAACCAGACCCATGTCAGGACATACCTGCAAGTATGTGTGGTTCTGTCTGGTAGTGTGTGTCCATCCCACTGGCATAGACCACCCTCATTGAATGGTCATTGCCCACTTGGTAGCTGTTTCGAAGCTGATCTGTTCGACACACAAATGGGAAAAAAAGGAGTTATTACTGAGACATCCCTGAACAAAAGCTAAAGACTTATTATTTCCATCCAGTATTAAGAACAGCCAGACAGGAAACTGAAAAGAGCAGAAAAGAAAATCGAGATTAAGACAAAGAAAACTTTCTGAAAACAGTTATAATCTGCTAATAGAGCAGACAATTTAAACTTTTATCTCTCTGTTACCCAGGGGCGGAGCCAGTGGGTGGCCATTGGTGGACATGGCCACCAATGGCCACCCCCCGGCTCCACCCCTGCTGTTACCCACCTTCCTCTTCACATTTCTACAGGTTATTTTCAGTAAGTCACACACAGGCTTTTCTTTTCATTTTTACTTCTGATCTACGGTCAAACAGCCTTGTTTCACTCAGAGTGTAATGATTTAAATATATAAAGTTTCACAAATGTAACACTTTGTGTTAAAACAAGTCTTTTTTGGTTCTATTAGACATTTGTCTAATTCATTAGGAAGATATTGTAATGCTGTCAGCTCCTGCCAGCAGGTTACTTTTGTAAAATTCCTTTAGTAATTTAGCAAGAAATTGATCTAAAATGACAGTTAAATTGAGTTAGTTGAACTTATTAATAATTATGTAAGTCATCATGTGTGTATATGTGTATGTACTGTACTTATATGTACATACTTTTTCAGCTGCCTGTACTGCCTTTGTGTTTATATTTTAGTAGTTATATCTGAGTGCTGTTTTGATTGTAAATGTGTTTTATTGCAGAGTGCATACAGCCGTCTGGGACAGCAAGTGCCCATTTCTGTATGAGTTACTGTTTGAGGAGATGAATTTTTTTTTGTTTTATTTGGTTTATTATAGTTTGAAATTAATATTGTTTTTTGTAAATAGGAGCAGATAAGATTTTTTACTTTTTCTGCTGCCTTTCATTTAATT